GGTAACATGATTAAACATTTTAAAAAGGTTAAATTAAGCAATATAAGACTAGCATATTTAACAATTTTAAGTATCCATTAAATCTCTTACATTCTTATGTAATGAACAAGCAAACAACAAGTTCAGGAAAAAAGTAATTTAAGTGGTTTACACCTGTGACATTAGCTAAAGTGTTGGGGAGAGACCAGGATGCCTCACTGCTACACTGAGAACTATAGGCAACCAAATCATGCAGAGAGTGGAAGAAATAGATCTTCCACCATTGATTATTTAATACCAAAGTGTCATCTACCAAACATGCATACAAGCAACATTACACAGAGGTTATATTTCAGGAAATATATGTATATACATATTCCAAGATGTATGTCATTGTAATTAATGAACAATTGCCCATGAATTTGAAAGAGAGGAAAAGTATGTGCAAGGATTCACAGAGACAAAAGGGAGGTTTTCATAAATAAGAGACAGAAGGTATGGAAAATGTGCTGTTTATGTAGGAAAGTAGAATAAACAAGTTGAAAATTTGTAAGTAAGTAGTGTAAAGACCAATAATCTATAATTCCTAAATGGGTTAGTCCAAGTAAGGAAATGGAATATGCTCCATCCTCAGAAAATGGAAAGATTCATCCAATAGTAAACCTTGTCTATCAAAGATTCCAATTTATTCAAATATAAATTCCCTTCAAATAAAATAACTAAAAGTACCATAGGGCTCCTTTATTCTAAGATGGCAATCTATGAAAGTGTTTCCCAGAGGTTAGCATCAAAAGTATGTGGAAGCTATTTTAGATTAACATGGCAGAGTCATCCATATGGTACTGGTTTTACAGCCATAAAATGTTCAATACTAAGGGGAATATAGAGGTTGAAGACAAAGTTCCAGAAAGCTGCTGAGGTCAGAGAATATGTAGCAAGGTCAAATACCCAAAAGGAGCTCCTGAGAGGCCATTGCACATCTCAAGGAAGAGAAGCTAAAGTTTCAGTGAAAACCCCAGGAGAGATGGCTCAGAGGTTAAGAGTACTGGCTGTTCTTCCAGAGGTCCTGAGTTCAATTCCCAGTAACCACATGGTGGCTCACAACCATCTGTATTGAGATATGGTACCATCTTCTGGCCTGCAGGCATATATGGAGGCATAATGTTGTATACGTAATAAATTAATTAATCTCAAAAAAAGAAAGAAAACCCCAGAATGTTGGTGACACTGGAACTCTGGGAAACCTACCACAGAAAGCTGTAAGCTTAGAGAGGTTCCAGCTTAAACAAGAAGTCACATTGCTGCAGGTGGAAGAGCTAGATTGTGGGGTTTCCTAGCACTGTAGAAGCCCAAATGATACCATCATAATTGACAAATATCAGATATAGAGATTCAGAGTATGGTATTTTATGATATTTTACATTCATTTTAAACAGATTTTATTCATTATGAACCCCCATCCCTCCACTGCCTACCGCATACTTTTGGAATGGGCATTCTTCTATTCTTCTATTGTGTATTTGAAATATGTAATTTATATTTTGATTTTATGATGCTCACACTTTATAGGATTCCAAAGAAATTTGAACAGCAGACTCCAGAAGAATGTTGCTGCTGTTAAAACTGAATATTAAAAGATAGACTATGTGAATTTAGCATGATGAAATAAATATAATCCCTCAGACATAAGGAAGGGAATGTAATACTGTAAACATATGTTTGGATGTCAAGTTGGCAAAGGATAAAGTTCATAATAATAATAATAATAATAATTTTCAACTGTGTGTGATTTAGAATGACAGAAGAAAGAAATATGATATATTTATGATGGCCATTGCAAGTATTGCTGAGTGTGGTGTAATATGGACTTTTTGTGTTAGAGGTACCATTACATTGACTGTAGTCCTCAACTGAATAAAGGGAAAAGAGAAAGGATAGTGTCAACAAAGCCTAAAACTGTGTCTTCTCTGCTTCATAATTTAGGTACAACGTAACCTGCCACCCCATAATTCTGATAACATGCATTCCCTATCATGAGCATAAATAATGCTCAAACTCAAACTCAAACATGAGCATAAATAATCCTTGATTTTCTTAAATTGTGTTTTGTTTTTTAGGTTCCAGCAATGAAAAATTAGCTAATAATATGAACATATGACTAGAGTTCTTAGGCAAATTTTCTGGATGAATTCTAAAATTTACTAACAGCTATAATAATGTTTTTCAATATAATTAGTTTGATATAATCCTCAGAATAATGTTACCCTTGCTCTTTATGATCTATTCTAGTGTATTTTCATGGGAGTGAGAAATTCCTCCTACAAAACATCAATTATTATAACACCAATTAAGAAAAAAATTAAATAATAGTGAAAAGTCTATTTTCCTTTGGGAATCTTAAGGATGCAGCCAAGTGCCTTAAAAAGATCTGAAAGAGACATTTGGATTACAAGGTGCATCAGAGGAAATCCAACCAAAATGTGTAAGTCAGTAAATTATTTTCTTGTTTGCATTTGCTTTATTCTGTACTAGTAAATGACAATAGGTTTTCATAGACATTTGAGATTCATCAAAAGTCTAAATTATAACCACATGTTATGATTACAGAGTTTACAAAACTTTTAGTTGATCTATCATTCATCTGAATGTTAATGTCTATGAAAAATTTTGACACTTCATTTGGACCTCCTAGAAAAAATGTCTACATAATTTGGGTGACTAATCCCTTTTACAGGAATTTGAGGAATCTGAATTGCTTCACAGTATGGATTTCAAATTTCTGATGATAAAATATTAACATTGTTTGCCCCAAATAAAAGACTCAAAGTCCCATAAACATTCTAAGATTTAGAAGATAGGAGTAGATACCAAAACATGCAATGTATAAGTTATTTCTTCACTGTTTTTGTATTTTTTCGTGTTTCTTTTTCCTGTTGATTGCAATGGGCAAACAAATGTCATTACAATTCTTAGCACCCTACCACACTTCCTCACTGTTCACCACTGCTTCTCGAGAAAGTATCTAAACAAGACCCACATTTATTTTACATGAGAACTATTCATTCTAAAATACCTTCTCTGAGATATGTTCAGTTGTCCTCTGCATTTGGTGTGAATTGAAAGTCCCCCATCTTTAAAAAATGAAGCAACTGCATAGCTAATCTATGAATTTTGTTATGTCAGTGCCTTAGAATTTTATTTCTTTGCTTTGTATATTACTAAAAAGTATTTATATTTTACCTCCTCCTTGGGAGAACAATTTTTCCACTGCCCCACAATATTCTTGAATTTTGTTACTATTATTTAGTACCATGACTAATATATATGTAACAATGTATCTTTTTGTTTTTCATTGAAGACTAGTCAATACCTAAACCTAGTAACCAGGAATGTATCAATATAGCTTAAATATACATAGAATACCATAGTATGTTGGATATTACTAAAAACTGATTCCAGAAAACATGATGTGATAAAGAGAAATATGGAGGAACAAATGGAGGAAGTATTTTGATGTATACATTCCTCACTATTCTTTTACAAACAAAAATCAGAAAATTCTGTCATGTCTCCACTACAAATGTGTGTAGATGACCTACTCAATTCTTTTATAAACTATCTCCTGTCTTCAAGACACATATTTTACTTTTTGTGTATTTGTAGGATTTGTCTTTGCATTTGTGTTTGTGTACATTGTGCCTGCCTGGATCTACAGACAACTCAAATAGTCCCCAGGTTCCATGGAAATTGAGATATACTCAATTATTAGCCACCATTAGGTTTTTGAAACTGAAACAATATCTCCTCCAAGAGAACAAGTACTTGTAATAGCTGAGTCAAGTGCCATGCACTTCGCATTTCTCATTTTTTCCTCTCATTTGTTTTTAATTTTTTGAGAATAAATTGAATTCCAATGTTTCTCTCTTCCATTCCCTCATTCCAAAGCCTCCTGTATACCTTTACTCTTTCTTGCATTTTTTTTTTGTATTTCGGAAATCTTATGCCATGGCAAGCCTACTTTAGAGAGTTCCAGAAAATGGAACTGGTTATTCACCAGAGAAACCAAATAAAAAAACAATTATAAAACAGGGAATGAGTTTGATAATATAAACATATAAGGTAACTATATATCTGAAAGTAGTAAGAAGAACTAAAAGGTTATTACCAAAAAAGGATAAGAACTATGGATTCTTAAAGCACAGCTATTCACATAGTCATCTGGTGTTAGTTATCTCAGTTCTGAATATTCAGAAGCTTATCAGTACAAAGAAAATTGCTGAGGCTGAATTGGGGCAATACCCATTTGATCCAGAGAAAAGACTTCTGCTATGAAGCAGAATGTTCATGTGTACTGAAAGATGTTTATGTATCAGATATGTGATCTGGAAGGGAGACTAATTGGTGCCTAAGAGATGATCAATGCTGGTTAGGGGCACAGGCTCACCTTTGAGAGATTTGCATGAAGAAAAGTTCACTTAGAGACCAAACCAATGAATGTAGGCATCCAGTGCCACTCAAAGGGTCCAGAAAACATGATAAAAGGAGGACTTTGGCAATCATTTAAAAATATTATAGATACAAGAAAGACACTAACTTGAGTTGAACTCTCTTTGGAAAATAAATGCAGTAAGATGAGCAGTTATCTCATCCAAGATTAAGGCAAAGTAAATAAAACACAGAAGGGAGAAAATCTAAGGTTTTATCCTTTAGTTTGTTGCACACTGGACTTCAGTTTCAGGTGAAGATTCATTTCAATTAGGAAAACATCATGCATGTCTGTTATGATTTGTCTACAATTTATAACAATTCATGGTACAGAAAATTGATATAAATGATAAATTAGTACAATTTATGGATCACGTGAAAGTAGCACCTTATGAAAACATAAAATGGGGACTATAAAATTTGAGGTCTACCTAAGTAGTGTCCTGGATCCATTTGTGTACATCAGTGTAACTATTTCGAACTGTGTCAATTTTTGCTCATATCTCCTACCTGGCAGGCCATTTGAAGGACCTAGAATGCCAAACTTCACCAGAATAACAGGATTCATCCTTATGGGGTTTTCAGACATTCAGGAGCTACAGACAATCTGTGGAGTGTTCTTCTTGGTAATATACCTAGCAGTCCTGATGAGTAACACCCTCATCATCACTCTCATCACCCTGGATCTGAAGCTCCAAACACCCATGTATTTCTTCCTGAAGAATTTGTCCCTGTTTGACTTGTTTCTTGTTTCTGTTCCAATTCCAAACTTTTTTTTCAACAGCCTAACTCACAGAAATTCCATTTCCATGCTGGGTTGTGCCTTTCAGATACTTTTCATGACTTCCTTTTCAGCAAGTGAGACACTTGTCCTGACTGCCATGTCCTATGACCGCTATGTTGCCATTTGCTGTCCCCTGCACTATGAATTAATTATGAGTAGTAGAATCTGTGCACTGATGTTGTGTGTTTCCTGGGTCACTGGCATACTCTTTGGAACTGTATATACAGCTGGCACATTTTCTATGCCTTTCTGTGGCTCCAATGTGATCCCACAGTTTTTCTGTGATGTCCCTTCATTGTTAATGATTTCCTGCTCTGAATCACTTGTGGTCATTTATGCAAGTCATGGACTTGGTCTGTGTCTAGGCATTTCTTGCTTTATCTGTGTGGTGGTCTAGTCATGGACTTGGTCTGTGTCTAGGCATTTCTTGCTTTATCTGTGTGGTGGTCTCTTACTTTTACATTTTCTCTACTGTATTGAAGATTCCTACCACTAGAGGACAGTCCAAAGCATTTGCCACATGCATCCCCCACCTCACTGTTTTCACTGTTTTCATTGCTACTGCTTGCTTTGTCTATCTGAAGCCACCCTCAAATGTACCATCAATCACAGACAGTTTTTTTTCTGTGCTCTACACCCTGTTACCTCCAGCACTTAATCCTGTGATCTACAGTCTAAGGAACAATGATGTCAAATGTGCTCTGAAGAGGTTGCAGCAAAATCTCTGCGCAATGGGTTCATGTCATTTAACACTTCAAAGCAACTGTCAGTGATATAGTACTTGGAAGTTACAAGCAAGTTTTGCAATTTATGACACTGGAAAGACAAATTTAGACACTATTTTTTGTCCTTAGAAAATAAATACCAAGAATAAGGCTAATATTATCTATGATCAAAAAATTTAATTGTATCTGGTTAAATTTGTGGTACTAGTTTCTGCATTTAGATAGTAAAACTGTCATTATATGGGAATATAACATTCTAAAAGGATTGGGGTTTTTTGGTAAATTTCAGTATCTGCTCACTTGAAACTCCTTATTTGGTTTATTTGCAAGCAAAAAATAATAACCACCACAAAACAGTTTACATTTTGGAAGAATGTGATCCATCAAGGACATGGCTTCTGTGCTCATCTTTCTACTAATTAGAAAATACAGGCAGGATTATAACCAGGAAACCCCTATAATTCTGGAGATTTAATCTAATACTCAAAGTAATATCAAAAGCTTAAAAACAGCAAACTTCGAGAAAGATTATATGACACAATTTATAAAACTGAAATAGTATCCAAACAGGTTGAGTGTATTGTCAGAGGGACACAGAAGAGGCAGAATCTTGTGTGACTGTTTTTTTTTTTTTTTTTCGGTTTCTCCTTAATAGAAGCATTTTTTTAGAGATGAGAAAATGATGGATCATGAGTGTAGGGAATAGTTCTAAAATATCTTACAAGTTCTAGAGAGTTTAAAAAACACGTCTCTTTTCCTTATTTTTAGATTAAAAAATTATGTGGAGAAAAAACTCTCTGACTACCCTTAGAATCTAGATACAGCTCTGTGATCTGTAATGTATTTGAACTTCACTTTTCCAGCAGCAGGGTTGCAGCTTCTGTGACTTTTCACCAAAATTGGGTATGGAAGCATTTTGTTGATGCAACTGCCCTTTGAGTTGTCCAGCTGCTATAAGTAAGTAATCCCATTAAGCAAATTGGTGAAAAAGTTGTATTTGGTGGAATTAATTTGGTCATTCTTTGTGTGTCTATCTGGTTTGAGTAGGTGTTGTTTCTCCACAGGAAATGTTAACACAACAATGGTCCTCTTTTGTGTGTCAGCCTACTTGTGGTCTGGCAAAATATCACCTTTACCTAGCTGCATGTTCTCATCATCATCTACAAAGAAGATCTGGAACTAAATAAAGTTGTAGTAGAAATCACTTATCAGTGAAAAATTTCTCTCTGTGAATTTGCCAGTCACTGCATTGAAACACACAAGATTTTGTTTACCATTTATGAAATCTCTGGAGATTCTATACTTTATCAATATAATTATTTGTGTTTTGTATTTAATCTTCATTTCTAGAAAAAAACAAGTTTTCTTAATGTACAACCACTTTCAATTATATTAATAATGGTTTATGGTCACTGTGACAAATGATTACTAGAATCAGACTAATGGAAGCAATGTTCACTTCTCTTTTATCCTATTCAATTTAGACATATGTATATTGAGAAAAGACAACAAAGGTACTTACCTTTGTGGGATTCATTCTCAATTTTTAAAACCAATAACAATTTCTCCAAACAATCTGCATTTCCCCAAAACCTCCATACAATGACCAGTATATCAATTTCTAATAGTGAAACATGATGATAATAAATACAACTTGTAAGAAGATAACACTTAACATGCTTGACTCAACTTCAAACTTTAGCTATGCATGATTTTCATTCATTGTAACACAATGTACTCTCAAGATCTAATTATAACAAAAAATGAGACAAGTAAGACACATCACACTGAACACACACATTAACTTTAACTAACACATTAAGAAAATGATTCTACCTGCTTTAACATGGTCCCCTAAAGGTCACCCTGCTGCTTCAGGTTTGGTCCTCAAAAGTTTTTTCATTCTCATTTTTATTTTATTTTTAAAACAACCTTTTTTTACATGCCAAATCCAGTTCCCTCTTCTTCCCATCTTTCCATTGTACCCACCATTTTCCCACCCAACTCCGCATCTACTCCTCAGAGAGGGTGAGGCCTCCCATGGGCACTCATCAAAGTCTCTCACTTCATTTGGGGCAAGACCAAGGTTGTTTATATAGATGTCTACTGATATTTGTGTTTTGTGTCTGTGAAGTTTTTCTCTATAGGTTTTCCTAGTTTTTACCATTTATTTTTATTCAAGTCTATTGTGTAAAAGAGCCAAAGGTATTGAAAATGTGCAGTTTATTTTGGCAAGGAGGATAAGCAATTTGAAACTTGAAGTAAAGTTGGTAAAGACAATCTATAATTCTTGCAGGGCATTGGTGGCGCATGCCTTTAGTCCCAGCACTCGGGAGGCAGAGGCAGGTGGATCTCTGGTCTACAAAAGCTAGTTCCAGGACAGCCTCCAAAGCCACAGAGAAACCCTGTCTCAAAAAACAAAAAAAACCAAAAACAAACAGACAATCTATAATTCTTAAATGGAGCAGTTCACATAAGGAAATGGAACATGCTCCACCCTCAGACAATAGAAAGTTGACTTAATGAAATTCTTATTTATGAAAACCTCCAAATTATTCAAATTTAAAATCCCTTCAAATGATAACTAAAATTAAATATGCCATCAGAGCTTCTTTGATCTAATATGGCCATTTAGGAAAGTGTTCCCCAAAGTTAGCATCAAAAGAATATGGAAGCCACTGTAATTGTTATCTTAAGAGTCCTGACTACAGCTTGAGCATGTAGTTGGCTAACATGGCTGAGTTATTCATGTGGCACTGGTTTTACAGTCATGAAATATTCAAGTGAAAAGAGAATGTGAAGGTTGCAAAAATTTCCATAAAGCTTCTGAGGAGAGGGAAAGTGTGGTAAAGTCAAGTATCTCACAAGAAGCCCTTGAAATGCCACCTCACACACCTAGAAAATGAAGCAAAAGCTTTAGTGGAAATCTCAAAATGTTGATGATAGCAAAACTCCTGGAAATCTACCTCAGAAAGCTACAAACACAAGAGACTCCAACTTAAACAGGAAGTCACATTGCTGGAGGTGGCAGAGCTAGAGTTGTGGGTTTGCCTTTGCCTATCACTATAGAAGCCCAAATGATACCAGCATAAGTGACAAATACCAGATATAGAGCTGCAGTTTATAGTATTTTTCTGATGTTTTAGTTTTGTTTTAAACCAATTTTCCTTGTTATGAACTACCACCCCCTCCCACTGCCTTCCCTTTACCTATGGTATTGGCAATCTTATGCTGTTCCATTGTATATTTGAAATATGTAACTTATATTTTCATTTTAGGGAAACTCACAGTTTTTAGGTCAACATAGATTCCAAAGAAATTTGAACAGTAGACTCTTGAAGAATATTGGTGCCGTTAAAACTGTGAACATTAAGTGACAGAATAATTGAATTTTGCATGATGAAACAAATATAAAATTTTAGACATAAGGTATAAAATGGTGGAAACATGTTTGTGTGTCAAGTTGGCAAAGGATGAAACTTTCATGATTCATAACAATTTTCAACATTGTGTGATTTAGAATGACAGAAGAAAATCATATCTTGTCAAGTTCATGATTGACTTTCCAAATAGTACTGAATGAGCTGGAAAGTGGACTATCTGTGTTAGAGGTACCATTCTGTTCACTGTGGTCCTTAAGTGAATAAAAAGGAAAGAGTGAGGCAAGCATCATCAGAGTCTTAGCACATGACTTCATGCTTCATAAGTCAAGAACAATGTGACCTTCCACCCCATACTTCTGACATCATGCCTTCCCTATCATGATGTATTTGCACACTCAAACATGAGCACAAATACATCTTATTTTCCTTAAGATGTGTTTTGTGTTTCAGGTATTTTTTTATAATAATGATGAAAACAACTAATGACATAAATATGTGGCAAGTGTCCCTAGGCAAAATTTCTGGACATATCCTAATATTTGCTAACAATTATAATAACTTTTTTTCCAGTATGGCTCAGAGTATATATAGATAGTTTAATACAATCTGGGGAAAAGTGTAAGCTGCATTCTTCATGATCTATCTGTGTATTTTCATGGGACTGATCAGTCTCTTCTACAGAAAGTGCCAATTATTATAACACTAATTGTCTTAAGAGAAAGGTAAATAATAAGGAAGTCTATTTAGAAAGATTTTCCTTTGGGAATCCTAAGGCTGCAGACAAATGCCTTAAAAAGATCTATTAGAGGCTTTTTGTTTACACAGTGCTTCAAAGGAAGTCTACCAAAATTTATAAGATGGTAAATGATTTTCTTGTTTGTACCTGATTTATTCTGAATTAAGAAATGATTACAGCTTTGCATAGACTTTTGAGTCTTATTGGAAGCCTAAATCATAACTGTATGTTATAATTATGGAATTTGCGAATTTTTATGTTCCACCAATAATCTGAATGTTAACATCTGTAAGAAATTCTGGCTCCTAAGTTGGACCTCCTGGAAAGTCTTCCTCCATAAGTCTGGTGACTAATATCTTTTCCAGGAAATTGAAGAATCAAAATTGTTTTAAAGTACATATTTCAAATTTATAATGATAAAATATTAAAATACTTTACTCCAAAAAAGATTGAAATCTCATAAATATTATTATGATTAGAGAATTAGAATAGATACTAAGAATAATGTAACATATAAGTAATTTCTTCACTGTTTTTGTATTTTTCATGTTTCTTCACGGTTCCAATGGGCTGGCAAAGGTCATCTCAAACATTTGTATTAGATTAGTTATATGGGTGCTTGATTTTATTCTATAAACTTTGTTATGTGACTGTCCAAGTATTTTGTTTTGTATATTATTTTAAAGTATAGATATTTTACCTCTTCTTTGGTATAAGAAGCATTCCATTGCTCCATAAGTTTTTCACTAACATTTAGCACCATGTCTAATATGTATGTAAAATTGAATCTGTTACAGCTTAGATGTACATAGACTATCATAATATGGTGGATTTTGTTCAAACCTGATTCCAGAAAAGTGATGTGATGAAGAAACATATGGAGGAACAAATGGAGGAAGTACTTTAATTTGTTCATTTATCCAGATTCTTTTACAAACAAAACAGCAAAGAATCCTCACATGTCTCTACTATAAATGTGTGTACCCAAACAATGTAAAAAACTTTTCTAAATTATCTCCTTTCTTTAATACATATCTATTGTTTTTATTTTCTGAGTATTTGTGGGATTTTTTTATTTGCATTTATGTTTGTGTTTACTGGGCCTGAATGGTGGTTATAAACAATTCAAATAGGTTTTAGGTTTCTTGGAACTGGAGTATAGTCAGTTTTGAGCTCCTAAGTAAATTTTGGATACTAAAATTATATTGCTCCTTGAGCAGCAATTGATTTTTTTATTGTTTTTCTGTTTTGTTTTGATTTGTTTTGTTTTTGGTTGATCCAAGTCTCCTGCCCCTCACCTTTCTCTTTAATTTTCTCTTCTCTTTTATATTTAATTTTTGAGAATAAAATTGGATTGCAATATTTCTCACTTCCCTTATTATAAACCCTCCCATATACTTCCCTCTTTCCAGCCCATGGCCTCTTTTTTGTTGTTGTCACTTTGTTTCACTAATAGATGTTGCATGCATATATGTATATGTGTATAACAGTGAATGCACACACACACACAAACACACACACACACACACACACACAAACACACACACACCCCACATATGTGCTTTTCACTGTGGAAATCACTTCTCCTATTCTTCAATAAGCCTTAGCTCTCATATGTTAGTAAACTCACTGATATGTTCAATACTTAAGATTGCATGAATTTAAGATGATATAAATATTGAACAACAAATCTGTGTTTATATGACATTGTTTACATTAATGAAGACAGAGATTATATAGTTGCATATTTAGCCTATTAATTATAACCATAAAGACTTAGAACCCATGACTATTTACTATTTTACACATACAACTAATGTGATGGATAATATTATTTCCTTAAGAAAGAAAATTCCTTTGTTTTGTTTTGGAAATTGTATGTCATAAGAAGCCTGATTTAGAGAGTTCTAACAAACTAGGAGTGGTTAATCAATACAGAAACAAATCAAAACAATAGTAAAATTAGGAGTTTGGTAAAATAACCATATAAGGCAAATATGTATTTAAAAGTAGTGAGAGGAACTCAAGGATTATTACTAAAGAAGGATGAGAGCTATGCATTCTCAAACCCTCCTGTTCAAATAGTGGCCTGGTTGATAGATATTTCAGTTTTGAGCATGTAGAATCTTATCTTTAACAAGAAAATTGCTGAGGCTGGATTGGGGTCAATCCCCATTTGATCCAGAGAAAAGGCTTCTTCTGGGAAGCAGAACATTCATGTTTACTGAAAGATGTTTACGTATCATATATGTGGTCTGGAAAGGGAGCAAATTGGTACTTAGGAGATGATTGCTCCTGCTTAGTGATTGAGAGATTTTCATGGAGTATACTTCTCTTCATCAAAGACTAGAGCCAATGAATGAAGGCATGCATGTGCCATCTAAAAGGTCCAGAACACATAATAAAAGGTGGAATTTGGTAATCTTTTAAAAATACTCTAAGTGTAGTAAAGACAATAACATTATTTGAACACTTATTGAATGATAATTGTGGGTACGCAAAATTGAATAGTGATCACACTCAAGATTAAGACAAAGGAAATAAGACACAGAAGGGAGAAAATCTACAGTTTTATCCATTAGTTTGTTGTGCTCTGGGTAACTGCAGTTTCAGGTAAAGAGTCATTTCTATTAGGAAAAGCACCATTTATATATCTTATGATTTTTCTAAAAAATTGTTATACTAGATGGTAGAGTAAAATGATATAAATGAAAAATAAGTACTATGATGATATCTTGCTTGTCCAATAAAGCCTGTCTGAGAGTCAGCAAAAGGAGCTTGCCACTAGTTATTCATAGTGGTCTGGAGGTCTATAAAGACAGACATAAAGTGAGATAGGTGGGTGGAAACAGGACACAAGCAGGGAGAAATAGGAACCTGCTCTCAGGTCTGCTGAGACAATAAGGAGATAAGGTGTGGCCACAGCTTACTCCTTCTATCTGATCCCTCAGGATTTTCTTCTATATCTGACTCTGTGTTTTTATTACTTAGACCAATGAAGAACTCCATTTCAAAGCACAATCTATATATTAAGTGAAAATACCATCTTATGGAAGTATAAGATTGGAAACTTTAGAAATGGAGAAATACCTATGTAGTGCTCTGGATCCATTTCAGCTGAACATTATTGTACTTCAGTCTAAATATATGGGACTGTGTCAATTTTTGTTCCTTTCTCCTACCTGACAGGTCATTTGAGGGACCTAGAATGCCAAACTTCACTAGAATAACAGAGTTTATCCTTTCGGGATTTTCAGACACCCAAGAGCTACAGACTCTCTGTGGAATGTTCTTCTTGGTAATGTACCTAGAAGTCCTGATGAGTAACTTCCTCATCATCATTCTCATCACCCTGGATCTGAAACTCCAAACACCCATGTACTTCTTCCTGAAGAATTTGTCCCTCTTTGACATCTTCCTTGTTTCTGTTCCAATTCCAAACTTTTTTTTCAACAGCCTAACTCACAGAAATTCCATTTCCATGCTGGGTTGTGCCTTTCAGATACTTTTCATGACTTCCTTTTCAGCAAGTGAGACACTTGTCCTGACTGCCATGTCCTATGACCGCTATGTTGCCATTTGCTGTCCCCTGCACTATGAATTAATTATGAGTAGTAGAACCTGTGTGCTGATGATGTGTGTTTCCTGGGCTACTGGGCTACTAATAGGAAACCTACACACAGCTGGCTCATTTTCAATGAATTTCTGTGGCTCCAATGTGATCCTACAGTTTTTCTGTGATGTTCCCTCCTTGTTAAGGATTTCCTGCTCTAAAACACTTGTAATCACTTACACAAGTCTTGGGCTTGGTATGTGCATAGGCATGTTTTGCTTTATTTGTGTGATGATCTCTTACTTTTACATTTTCTCCACTGTGATGAAGATTTCCACCACTAAAAGCCAGTCTAAAGCATTTTCCACATGCATCCCCCACCTCACTGTGTTCACTATTTTCATTGCTACTGCTTGTTTTGTTTATCTGAAGCCTCCATCAAAAACACCATCAGTTGCAGACAAACTGTTTTCTGTGCTCTACACTGTGTTGCCTCCAGCACTTAATCCTGTGATATACAGCCTGAGGAACAATGACATCAAGTATGCTCTGAGGAGATTACAGCAAAATCTCTGTTCAAGAGGTTCACTTCATTTAACACTTCAAAGAATCTGTTAGTGTTATAGTGCCTCACAAGTTAAAAGCAATTTTGCAATTTTTGACCTTGGAAAGATAAGCATAGATAATCATTTTTGTCCTTAGAAAATGAACACCCAGAATGAGACTGATATTATCTATGATCACAAAGCTAAATTATATGTAATTAACATATAAAAATGGTTGTACCAGTTTCTGCTCTCCTATACCAAATCTTTCATCCTTTGGAGAATATAACTTTCTAAAAGGATGAGTCATTTTTTGTAAGTTTCAATATCTGCACATTTTTATTCTCCTTTTCTGGTTCATTTAGAAACAAAAATAATAACCACCACAACAAAAACAATTTAGATAGCAGTACCATGTAACCAATCAGGGAGAATTAAGTTTTCTGTGATAGACTTTTACTACATAGTAGATGCAGAAATATAACTTATTGGCACAGATCATTCTGGATATTTAACCCAATACTCAAAGTACTACCAAACGCTTAGATAAAGACAATCTTGGAGAAAGATCATATGAGACAAGTTCTAAAAGTGAACTAGTATCCAACCAGGTTGAGAGTAATATCAGAACAACACTGGAGAGGCAGAAATTTGTATGGTTGTTTTTTGACAGTTGCTCCTAAATAGAAGCATTAATTACAGGCTAAATAATTGTGGCTCATGGGTCTCAGTAATAAGTCTAAATAACCTTACAAGTTCTAAAAAGTTTAAAAATCACAATTTCCTTTCCCACATTATAGAAGTGTTAAATAACTGTTGGGGATAAAAGATTCTCTGACAATTCTAAGCACTTGGATGCATCTCTGTGATCTGCAATGCCATTTGAATTTTATGCATTGAGCTTCAGGGTTGCAGCTTCTGTGAATTTTCACCAAAATTGGGCATTGAAGTATTTTTTGTAACAACTGTCTTAGTCCTCCAGTGGCTGTAAGTAAGTAATCCCAAGAAACCCACTGGTGCAAAAAGTTGTACTGTGGTAGAATTACTTTGATTGTCCATCTGGTGTGAGTAGGTGTGTGTCTTCACAGGAAAAGTTCACACACCAATGATCCATGTGTGTCTGCCTTCTGCCTGTGGTCCAGTAAAACATCATCTATAAATACTTGCGGGACATTGTTCCCATCATCATCTACAAAGAAGATATGGAACCAAATAAAATTGTAGTAGAAAACATTAGTCCATGAAAGTTTTCTCTTGGAGAATTTACCACTCAATGTATTCAAACACATAGTATTTCTTTACCCTTTATGAAATGTCTCTGAAGGTTCTACACTTTACCAATATAATGGTTTATGTATTGTATTTGCTTAATTTTCATCTGTAGAAAATATACAATGTTTACTATGAGGTTTTCATAATCTACAACCAGTGTCAGTTATATTAACAATGTATTATGGTTTCTGTTATAAAGAATGACTAAAATCAGAGTCATAGAAGCAATTTTCATTTCCCTTTTATCCTATCCTACCTAGGACACAGACATACTGGGACAAATCTCTTATCCATGTCATCCAATAAGAAAATGAAGGCACTTGCCCTTATGTGATACATGCTGCAATTTTTAAAACACCTGTCAATAACAAATTCTCCAAACTATAGGATGGCTATAGCCTTCATCCAGCAGCTGGTGGAAGTAGAATCTGACACCCACAGCTAAACACTGAAAACTGAACTGGAATCCAGTTGCAGAGAAGGAGGAGTAATGAGCAAAGCGTTAAAGACCAGGCTGGAGAAACCCACAGAAACAGCTGACCTTAACAAGGGGGAACTGGGAAACAAGCATGGGACAGATCCAGACCCCATGAACCTGGGTGTCAGTGAGGAGTCCTCGGAAATCCATGGGGCTTCTTGTAGTAGATCAGTACTTATCCCTAGCATAGGTATGGACTTTGGGAGCCCATTCCACATAGAGGGATACTCTGTGAGCCTTGACACACATCCAAAGCATATGACAGATTCTGAAGACAAAAAAACCAATTCCCCAAGCAACGTTCAGTTCCTTCAAACCTCCATACAGTTACCAGTATATCAATTTCTACTAGTGGAACTTAATGATAATAAATGCAGCTTATAAGGAATGACCCTAGTATGCCTGACTCAACTCCATACATTAGTTGTATATGATTTTGTGTGATTGCAACTCAATGTAGTCTAAAGATCTATTTTAAAACAAGAAAGGAGACAAATAAGATATCACACTGGACACACCCATCAACATTAACTAACCCATAAAGATAATGATTCTACCTGCCCTAACACACAAAACATGAGAGAGAGACACACACAGAGGGAGACACAGAGACAGAGAGAGAACCACATTCTACTACTACCACCAAAAACCAAATCACCCTGAAGTGTTTTACTGCTGTGGAATAAAGGAAAAATTGCAAGGAGCTCTCTTTCAGATAAGTATCTATTTGTTTCTTGTATGCACCGTGTTATTAGCAAAGAGTTTAACACATGTGGTGGTAGCATGTTATATGATACAATCTGACATTCAAATTCTATTCAGAAATTAAGAAGTAAAACTACTGAATTGCTGCTGGGTAGTCTAAGCAACAGACTTAAATAGCCATTTCACTGTTCAATTTGGACAGTATAATGTCTCAGTTGAGACAAGGACAGTTTCTTTGCCCAGATTTTTCCAGAAAGAAAGCAAGTTCCATAAGGAGGTTCTTTGATGTCCATTATCCTACTTTGAAGTAAATTGGTGTTGCCAGGATCAGAAGTTTTCACTTTCCTAAAAAGCATTATGTTATTAAAATATTTGAAATGCCATATCCTGTTAGTCTTTGAGGAGTTTAAAGATCACCTATCTAAAATGTATCTCTGTTTGATCTTGTAAACAAACATAAGTTTGATTGTTATAGATGACTATTAACCTTTATATTTCTTTATTATTCAAAAATAGCTTTCAAGGACTAAAACATTTCAATACATTTTTAAATGAGCTGCATAAGTACAATACCTTAGACAAGAAAAGAAATAAACATACAGTATAACTAAAATAACCTTAAATTTGTATCAACATGCAAAAATCCAAACCTATGTAAAATACTAGAGACTATGGTTGTTCAAAATATAATTAGAAATCTAATCTTTTATTAAGTTTTTAAAATTTTAATTAGAAACAAGATTGTTTTACATGTCAATCCCAGTTCCCTCTCCCTCCTCTCCTCCCCTGTCTCCCCCCAACTAAAACCCTACCTATCACATATCCTTTCTGTTCCCCAGGGAGGGTGAGGCCTTTCATAGGGGGTCATCAGAGTCTATCATATCCTTGGGATATGGCCTTGGCCCACCCCCATGTGTCTTGACTCAAGGAGTATCCCTCTAGGTGGTACAATCTACTCTTTTATACAATAATTTCGATACTGTATCCCCATTTTTCCCTTCAGAAAGAGATCACAGATCAGTTGCTGTCTAATGCTTCAGAGGAGTTTTCTAATCATCCCCAAAGGAAACAAATTCAAAAGTTGCCTAGTCTGTCATCTTTGGTGGTAAATCTTGTCATTGTGTCTTCTGTTTGAACACATAGGAGATATCTGATACAGTCACTGATCCTGAGTGATAGATCTGTGAGAGATGTCACTGTATGTTCCTGTCCAGGTTTATGAATGTGTGGTGGCTACACCTGGTTGTCTTTATTGTGTTTTTTTTGTGTGTCTTTCAAGTAGTCTATCTCAGTTCTGATTTCATTTATTCACCAGTGGTTTTTCTATTGTGAAAACCTCACCATTCCATTGTACCCTCTTCCACTTGACACCTATGCCTTCTTGCTGGGAACTGTAATCCTTTTTGTTCTCTGACACATACCCCAGAGAAACCACAAAAACCTCTATCAGTTCTACTTTGGAGAATAAATGCTTTTAGCAGTTTGACTCCTGATCATGGTCCAGGTCAGTCCTGGTTCCTGTGTAGAGGCAGTAAAGTTTTCCGATTTTCATCAAGGACCTCTGCCATCAAAGCAGAATGCACAAAGCAAAAGGAGACCCAGACAAAGGGAAACAGGAAGTTGCACTCCTTCATCTTTCATGATTTTCTACCTTTCAACCAGTAATTTGTATAATTACAAATCCAACATTCACAGAAAAACACAAAACAAACAAACAAACAAACAAAAACTTCACAGTAGTCAGGAAAGGGGATGGCTTTGGATAATGCAACTTGGGGGAAAGGGACTTTCCTTTTGAGGGTGGAGACTTTAAACAATTTATATGGAACATTTGCAGAGGTAATAAAACAGCATCTAAAAATATTTTCTTTGTTATCTAATTGGCCATTAGAAAAATGCTATAAAGTTTAAAAAGTTTAAAGGTATAAATGGGTCCCAGTTGCTGGATGTATCTCAAAAGTTTTTAACAGGAGAGAATCAACTGAGAATAAATAACTTTTTCATAACCTGAAAACTAAAGTCACTTTTTTCAATGATGAGATGTAGTTTAACTTGCAGATACCCAGAAAAAGTTTGCTGCCTTGCCTTCTGTCAGAAGAATATCTCTAGCTGAAAGTCCTACCCCAAGAAAAAAGATTGCCTTGGACTATCTATATGATTGAGATCAAAGATTGCTAGTGTGTGGGAAGAAAACAACCTCTTGAGACTGGCACATACATATGCTCCTATCAAAGATGAACTGACAAGTTCATCTTTCTGTGTCAACATTAAACAATGCTCAAAGGCCATGGAAACACAAAGGAAAGTTACAGTCAATATTGCCTGGCTTGGAGAGACAGGCATCCCCCTGTCATTCTAGACATTCTGTAATATACTTCTCTCATTGCTGAAGAAACCTGGGACCTCTAACTTTCATTAGTCTGAGTCTTCCAGAATGATAGGTATATACCTTTGGAACTGAAGAATACATCCATCAGCTTCCCATTGGCAGAAGTGACTCAATACATTTTGCCTTTAAGTGGACAGCTTTAGATCCGATTTCAGCAAGCAACTGACATGGATAAGGTTGCCCAAAGACTGAAAAATTCTCAAGCTCTCTAATGAGACACTAAATGTGG